AGACTCTGCTCTAAAAAAAAAAAGTGACATAAAAGTAGATGTATTAAGGGATGTATTAATGCACAAAAATGTTTATTGCAGCATTGGTTTTAATGCCACAAAGCTAGATCAAAGTGGATGCCCACAGTGGGGGAATACTGGTTGAATAAATTATACTGCATCATGCATACTGCATTCTACTGGGCAATCAGTAAAATGAGTGAATTAGAGCTGCAAGACGGGTACCACTTACTGAATAAGAAATATGAGATACAGAGACTGGTGTAAAATAGTCTACTTTCTTTTCATGAAACAAAGACTAGTATCACACTTTACATATATACATTCCTGTGAATATTTGTATAGGATTATGAGCATAAATGAAAAATTACATATCACATTTTAAAACTCTTCTACCAAGATGACCTATGTCATGAGTGTCGATACATGTGTAGGTAAGGGTAGAGTCAAGCAGCTTACAAACCAACCCATCAAGTCTGCATTTGAAAGGTGTGTCTATGATCATACGTGTATATATCAGTCAGGGTGAGTTAGATTATTCTTATTCTTAAACAATCCCATATCACAATGTGTTAATGTAACAAACATTTATTTCTTGCTCACATGAAGTCTCAGTGTCTGGAAGACTCTCCAGGCAATTTACTCAATGGTTTGGCTTCATCTTCCAGGCCATTTAGGTCTTATGGAGTTTTTCTATCCACACATGTTTTTACATGGCTGCAGCAGGGGAAGAGAGAACATAAAGAATTATGTACCAGCAATTAAAGGTTTTCATCTGGAATTGATGCATGTTAACTTGTTCTGCCTCCCCCGCAACCCCCAAATCAAAGCACATGGTTGTAGATAAGCTCAAGGAGTCAGGGAAATCTGTTCCTCTTGTGCTGCTCTGGAAGGGAACAAAAATACGGAAATACTGGTGAGTAGCAATAATGTATACATTATATGCTATATACTATCTACGTAGTGCATATTTCTATTTAAAATTATATGAGTCTAAGCTTTAAAATGATTTTGAAATGGTTTATACTTGATAAGTAAGCAACTTACCAAATATAAGAAATGAACAATACAAATGAAACTATGTATATATCAGCAGATTGGCTAAAATTGTAAAGATTGATAAAATCCAATGATGATGAAGATGTGGGAGAAAGTCTTATATGCTCCTGGTGTAAGAATAAATCTATACATTTCTGAAATATAATCAGACTGAAGATATCAAGATGTAATATTTGAAGTCTCATTTGGCCCAGTGATAAGACTTAGGAGAATTTATCCTTGAAAACAATCAGATACATACAGATAAATGTAAAGAAATATTTGCTACGGCATAATAAAAATGGAAAATAGTGTAAAAGTACATCTATTGAGGCTGAGCTAACATAGGGTAAATGCATATGATAGAATACTCTGAGAGTTACTGAAATAGGTGAGATGCATTTAATTTGTTTTAAAATTTAAAAATGCTCAAACCATGTGTTTTGGTTATTTAAATGCTAATGATACAAATAATGCCAGAACTTAAGGGCTTAAAGTAACTCTTTCATTCTGGTTCTGGTTTAATAGATCAGCACTCAAAGAGGGGCTTGGTTGGGTGGTTTTTGTTATTGTCAGCAGGGTCAGCTGGGACAGAAGGACCGTTTCCAAGATGGCTTCTTCATTTACAAGTCTTACAGGTTGTGTGTGTTGATATGTATGTAGGTAAGAGTGGAATCAAGGAACAAACCAACCCAAAAACAAACAAAAGCGTGCATCTGAAAAGCGTGTCTAGTGCTTTAGTGCACTTTAACTTCTTTACTTCTCAACAAAGGAATCTCATCTTCCAGTTCCTCTTAGCATGGTGGTCTCAGGGTAGTCCTACTTCTTAATATATCTGCTTTCCAAAAAGCAGGAAGTAGAAGTTGCCAGGCCAGTTAAAGGCTATACACAGAATTAGTATAACTTTATGTTAGCTCTATTCTATTGATTGAAGCAATCCAAAATCCTGCTGAGATTCAGGGAGATGGTGAAATAACATTTCTTGATGGGAGAGTGGCAAGAAACTTGCAGAAAAGCATGCAGGATGAGGGATATTGTTGTGACCATCTTTGGAAAACTGTCTGCTGCAGAATCATATAATTCAATTTGTGTAAATATTCATTTTTTTAATTTAAACATTTAGAAAAATATAGAAATAAAACAATGTTTCTGTGGGGCATAGCAATTTTGGGTAGAATGTTGGGTAGCTACTTTCTATTTCAAATTCTTCCGTGTTTGATTTTCTTCACAGTAAACATGAATTACTATTGTAATCAGCAAAATTTTTTAAAATCTCAATTTTGATGTTGTAAAGAAAGAGGTTGTTTAAAATTGCCTTCTTACAGAGTGTGCAATGCATGAAGCATGCATTTAAAAGGATGACATTTTTTTTTCCTGTGGAAAATTTGAGGAGGGACCTTTACATTTAAGTTTCCACATTTACAGATGGAGTAGGAGTGATAGCTTCTTAGAAAAATTGAATTTGAATAATGGATTTAAATAATAGAGGCCATTATTCAGGATGAGCTTAATGTAGTTCCCATACAGATGAAAGATTAAGGCAATGAGCAGATAAAAGCCTTACAGATACCTAATGCAAATTATGTCATATTAAAAACTAAAACAAAAAATTAAAAATAAAGCAGACCAAAGATTTCAAGAAGGAAGGATCTAGGGGTTAAATGTGGTTTTCAGCCATCAGAAAAGAATGACCTCATTCTTTAGTGGACATCTGTCTGATTCCAAGTCTATTTTCAGCAGTATCATTCCTGTGAGTTATCAGGATAACAATAAATGTATACACTTGAAAATTTTTCATTGCTTTCACTATCTTCTCAAATGTACCCAGAAGTCATAATGCTGGAATTACATTGATACAATCATCCCCATGGAAACAGAGGCTGGTGTCATAAATATGGCATTATGACTTCTCAGCAGGAGGAGGCAGATGGAAGTTTGGCACTGAAAGTGTAAGATTTATTCAAAAACACAAATGTCTTGGAGAATAACACCAAGGCAAAATAAATAAATAAATACATGAAAGGGCATGGAGTTGCCCCACTACATGCATTTCAAGAGATGTTTTCCGAGGATTTGTTCCCCTTTGGCAGGACTTGCTTGTACCTACACTTTCTTTTTCATTGTTCTGTTGGCATGGCATGTTCTCATCTTAGACTTGGCTGTTCAGGCTGTCAGGGGCTGCATTTACCAATGGGGGAGTTGAGATCCAGACAAGGGAATGCACTTGCCCAACTCATCTAGCAAGTAAGTGGCCCTGAGGAAGACAGAGCCCTTCTCCTGACACCTAATCCATGCATTTGAGTGTCCCTTTCACATGTCTGTTTTATGCTGAAAACACGTGTGCATTAATTAAGACATTGGTTTGATTGTTCTAATGAGACCCCCCTCACTGCTCACTGTGATAAGTGTTTTAAATAAGATAGAAGTTTTTCTTTCATAGCAGTCCATGGTGTCAGGCTGTATATATGTGTGTATATGTATATATATATGTATATATATATATACATATACACACATTAGTATATATGTGTAATATATACACATATTCATGTCTTTGCTGTGCCACCCTGATGCACTAGTATAGCATATCACATACCATATTTATTTTCCAGACAGAGTAAGGAGAGGGTGTTCTCCCGTCTTTTAAGAGCACAATTGGAAAGCCACACAAATCACTTCTGCTTACATTCCATTGGCCAGGACTTAGCCGTATACCTCGTTTCAAGAAACGCTGAATAGCCATGTGTTCTGCAGAAGTGGGGGATTTATTATTGCAGGAGAAGGGGAAAACAGATTTGGCAACAACCAGTAATCTCTGCAACACTTGCATCTCCTATGACAGAGCATTGTTTTCAGTGGACTGTCAACTAATTTCCTTTCTGCTAATGCAATGGCTGAAGACTGATTGTGATATTCATTTACCCAAGGGTAATTACATTTGTAATTATCATATTGGTTATAGAAATCACTGAATTGGCACAAAGATTGGACACCAGGCCTAAGATCAAGTTAGAAGTTAATTGATCATTAGAGTATGTATTAGGATTGTGAGAGAAACCCTCCACGTTAGTGGCTGTAAGAACAAGTAAGCCTATTTCTTTTTCTCCTAATTGTCTGAGATGTATTGTTCAATGTTGATGAAGGTTTGCTTGTGAGAGATGGGAGCATGGATATTAGTGGGCATCTAGTGGTTTTCTCTGCAGCATAGCCAGCTAGAATGACTGAGCTCTGACCATTTCTTTCATCCTAGCATCTTTGACTAAAAGATGAGAGAAAGAGAGAGAGAGAGAGAGAGAGAGAGAGAAAATTTTCTGATCAGCTAGGCTTAGACCATGTACACACTCCTTAGTTGTTGGGGAGGTAAGAAAAGGATCGTGGAACTTCCTTTTACATCTCGATTTACATTCCCACTAAGACTATTCCCAGTACAATATTATCCAGGAGTTTCTCTCATGGACCTTCTGGTTCCAGAAATATTCCTTCTTGTTCTTGTTATTGTAGCAGCACCCCTTTTTCCTCTTGAAAGTTAGAACAAATTACATCAACCAATGCAATAATTTTTTGGTTGTTTATCCAGCAGCATGAAGAGGTCAAAATTATCGGCTGGAATTTTCTACTTTCAGCTTAATGGAAGTGTTGCTGCAACCCCTGCTAGAAGTCTTTTCGTCTTGAATTCTAAAACTTCTAAATTAACAAAGTCCAAAGTTACAGAGATGGGAAGAAAATTTTCTAAGTCCACACTTTGACAAATGGATCATAGTGTACTCTAGAGTTTCCCAGAAGTGCTACTCACAGCTAGAGTCTAATTATTTCTGAATGGTTCTGGTATTTTCATTTTCTTAATCATCAGTTATTCTGGTCTCTAGTCCTCTTGGCTATGGCAAGGAAGAAGATTCTCAGTATACATTTGTGTTATCTTACTATTCTTACTCAATGTCTACCTGATTTTCCCTTTATTCCAGAGGCTCTAAGTCTATGAATTGACTCAGGCCATGGAATTGAATAAGGGACTGATTTTTTTAATAGTGACTCATATGAGTCCTGTTCGCCAGACCCACAGCATGATCAATGACACAGAGCAGGTAGGACCATAGAGTTGCTCATTGTTTTGATCTTAGAGAGTCCAATGATTAAATAACTTTCATAAAATGTTCTTTCACATATTTCTAATTACTTACTACTTGGGCTCTGCTGCCAATTACAGAAACTGTGCCCAGCTTGCTTCAGGTGCTGCCACTTGTCTTCTGTGACTCCTGGATGGCATGATTCTAACTGAAAAAGGAAGATCTCATTTTATGAGTGGCCTTTATCTTAATCCCCTGCCCACAAAGGATAACTTCTAAGTCTCTTTTCAAAAATAAATGTATTCTGAAATAACATCATTTGAAGCAACAAAGATGGAACTGGAGGCCATTATGTTAAGTGAAACACCTCAGACACACAAATACCACAGGTTCTCACTCCCAAGTGGGGGCTAAGTAACATGTACACATGGAATCTGGGTGTGGAATGATGAGCAGTGGGGACTCAGAAGGATGGGAGTGAGTGGAAGGCAGGTAATGATGGAGTTGCTTAGTAGGTACAATGTGTATTGCTCCAGTGATGGATGCACTGAAGGCATTGACCTCATCACAATACAATATATGAACGTAACAAAATGGTGCTGGTACCCCATGAATATACACAAATTTAACAAGAAAATCAATGCAATTCACTATATTAACAAAATAGAAGTGAAAAATATCTCAATAGGTACATAAAAATATAATGTCAGAAATGAAAAGCTCATTAACTATTTGAAAATCAAACAGTGTAATTCACCTTGTTGACATCTTATTAACAAAAAAGAAAACATGACATGATCATTTCAATAAATGTATAGAAAGCATTTGACAAAATCTAACATGTAGTTACAGTAAAAATAATAACAAACCTCTCAGCAAACTTTCAATAAAAGGAACTTAACCTAATAAAGAACAGCTACAAAAAAACCCCACATACAACTAATAACATATTTAATGGTGAAAACTGAATACTTTCTCCACACAATACAGAACAATGCAAGAATGTCCATTCTCACCATTTCAGCTGAACATTTTGTTAGAGGTTCTAAGCCAGCACAAGAAGAAAGAAAAGGAAATAAAAGATTGAAAAGGAATAGGTAAACTGTCTTTATTGGCAGATGATAAAATCAACTATGCAGATAATCCTAAACATCTACAAAAAACTATTAGAACAAATAAATGAGTTAGCAAAGTTGCAGAGTTCAAGATCAATACGAAAAAAAAAAAACCCTTTATTTTTATATGCTTACAATAAACTATCACAATTTAAAGACATTTTATTTATTTATTTATTTTAAGATGGAGTTCTGCTCTGTTGCCCAGGCTGGAGTGTAGTGGCATGATGTCGGCTCACTGCAACCTCTGCCTCCTGGGTTCCAGTGATTCTCCTGCCTCAGCCTCTTGAGTAGCTGGGACTACAGGTGTGTGCCACCATGCCCAGCTTAGTTTTTGTATTTTTAGTAAAGACAAGGTTTCACCATATTGGCCAGGCATGTCTCGAACTTCTCACCTCATGATCCACCATGCCTAGCTCATGTTTTGTATTTTTAATAGCGATAAGCTTTCACCATATTGCCCAGGCTGGTCTCGAACCCCTGACCTGGTGATCCACCCTCTTTGGCCTCCCAAAGTGCCGGGATTACAGGCGTGAGCCACCGCGCCTGGCCCACAATTTAAAATTAAAAACAAATACCAGCCAGGCACAGTGGCTTATGCTTGTAATCCTAGCATTTTGGGAGGCCGAGGAGGGTGGATCACTTGAGGTTAGGAGTTTGAGGCCAGCCTGTCCAACATGGTGAAACCCTGTCTCTACAAAAAATACAAAAATTAGCTGGTCATGGTGGTGCATGCGTGTAATCCCAGCTACTCGGGTGGCTGAGGCAGGAGAATTGCTTGAACCTGGGAGGTGGGGGTTGCAGTGAACTGAGATCATGGCACTGCACTCCAGCCTAGGTGACAGCAAGACTCCATTTCAAAAAAAAAAAAGGATACCACTTACCCTAACCTCAAAGCATATGAAAACTGACAAAGGATATGAAGACCTGTGCTTTGAAAACTACAAAACATTGCCAACAGAATGGAATGGGGTCCACGCCCATGCACTGGAAGACTCAATATTATTCGAACATTATTTCTTACCAAATTGATGTTTATACTCAATGCAATAAAAATCTACAGGCATTTTTTTTTGTAGAAATTGACAAACTGATTTTAAATTTATGTTAAAATACAAAGGACCTAAAATAACCAAAATTATTTTGAAGAAAAAGAACCAAGTGAGAAGATATTGCTACTTATTTCTAAATCTATCATTATAAAGCTGCAAGAATCAAATAATGTGACACTTGTCTAAAGACAGATGTATAGAATAGTGGAACAGAATAGAGTCCAGAAATAGACCCACATACATATGGCCATTTAGGTTTTGACAAATGATGATTGAAGAATGGAATATCATCATGGGTGAGCAAGACCCTTGATCCTCACTTCATGGCATATACAAATGCACAGCAATGAATTATAATACAAGAAAGATCACAGATCTATATGTAAAACCTACATTGTTAAAACCTTAAAAACATTGACACAAATTTTAATTACCTTGTATTTGGGAAGATTTCTTAAATATGACACAAAAAACACACAAAATTATATATTGTACTTCATTACAAATTCATTCATTTACTTTTCAAAAGACACTCTTAAAAAAGACTTACCACAGACTGAAATAAAAAATTTTTAATAAAGTTATTAAAAAATAACTCATAGTCATAAAAGTAATAAAACCAAGTTAAATATAACCGATTGTTAGATTTTGTCAAAAAACTTTTTACACATACAACTCAATGAGACGAACTCAATTTTTAAAATGGGCAAAAGTGGTTCTTCCAAATCTGGGAAGATGGAGTAGGTGTACTTTTGTTTACTTCTCTTTTATAATGCAATTAAAAGCCCTGGACATTATATATAAAATAAGTGCAAGAAGATAAAGAAACATGAACAGAGCAGGCAGGCCTGCTAGGGAACTCTGGGCCTGATGAACAATATGATGATGAGCACTCTGGGCTTTCTTTTGGCCTGATATATCCTAGACTTGGAGCTGAAGAAGCTGACAACCTATAAATAATAAGTGCAAACAAACAAACAGAAGCCTCAATAAAGGTCTAGGAAAGGGGTGGCCTATGAAGATGGAAAATATTTAGACGACCAGGCAAATAATTTATAATTCAGCCCTTGAAAGCAAATGCAACAAAAACAAACATTGACAATTGGGACCTGATTAAACTAAAAAGCTTCTGCACAGCAAAAGAAGCTATCAATAGAATAAATAGCCTACAAAATGGGAGAAAATATTTGCACACTTTGCATCTGACAAGGGACCAATCCAGAATCTTATAAGGAATTTAAATAAATTGACAAGAAAAAACAACCCCATTAAAAAGTGGGTAAAGGACATGAACAAACCCTTCTCAAAAGATGTACAAGTGACCAACAAACATATAAAAAACTGCTCAATATCACTAATCATCAGAGAAATGCAAATCAAAACTACAATGAGATACCATCTCACACAGTCAGAATGGCTATTAAAAAGTCAAAAAAGAACAGATGTTGGCAAAGTTGTAGAGAAAAGGGAATACTCATACACTTTTTGGTAGGATTCTAAATTAGTTCAGCTCCTGTGGAAAGCAATTTGGAGATTTCTTAAAAAATAAAAATAGAATTACCATTAGACTCCGCAAACTCATTACTGGGTATATACCCAAAAGAAAATAAATTGTTTTATCAAAAAGACACCTGCACTTGTATGTTCATCACAGCACTATTCACAATAGCAAAGACATGGAATCAACTTAGATGCCCCAAAACATGCGGTATTTGGTTTTTTGTTTGTGTTAATTCACTTAAGATAATGGCCTCCAACTGTATCCATGTTGCTGCAAAGGACATGATTTCATTCTTTTTTATGGCTGCATAGTATTCTATGGTGTACGTGTACCACATTTTTTTAATCCAATATTGAACAAAGAAACAAAAACCAAGGCTGTTCACAATGGCTCATGCCCGGAATCCCAGCAATTTGGGAGGCTGAGGTGTGCGGATCACCTGAGTTCGGGAGTTCAACACCAGCCTGACCAACATGGAGAAACCCTGTCTCTACTAAAAATACAAAAAATTAGCCAGGCGTGGTGGTGCATACCTATAATCCCAACTACTTGGGAGACTGAGGCAGGAGAATTGCTTGAACCCAGGAAGCAGAGGTTGCGGTGAGCCAAGATTGCGCCATTGCACTCTAGCCTGGGCAACAAGAGCAAAACTCCATCTTAAAAAAATAAGAAACAGAAACCAAAACGTAGAAACAAAACAACAACTATCATGTGTTTTCACTTATAAGTAGGAGGTAAACATTGGGTGCACACAGACATAAAGATGGGAACAATAGACACTGGAGACTCCAAAAGAGGGAGGAAGTAGGACAAGGGTTGAAAAACTACCTACTTTCTACTGTGGCCACTATTTGAGTGATGGGTTTAATCGAAGCCCAAACCTTAGCATTGTGCAATGTATCTGTATAACAAACCCACACTTGAATCTAAAAAGAAAAATAAATTTAAAACACTTAATTGGTTTATTAAAGTTTATTAAGTCTTTCAAAAAAAATATTTAGGCAATGATCTCTTCACTTCAGCCAAACACCATGAAAAAAATCTGTGGTCCCTGTTCTTTCCCATACTACCCCTTTCCGCCACCATGCCATTAGGGACCAAATGGAAACTTAGATTTTCACCCTTGTGTGGCTGTAGAAAGAAACCCAATACCACCTCAAAAAGGTGATATCAGAGAAAGTCAAGCAGGGAGCTGGGACTGTATGCTTTGCCTATCAGCAAAAATTGTGAGGAGTACCTGAAGTACCTGAGCTTACATCACATTCAGCAGTTATGAGATAGTCATCCTCTCTCCATTGGTTAGAGGTTAAATGAAAACTAGAGGAATCAAGACATTCACTATGGCTTGGTGATAAAGAGATCACCCCCTCTAGTGTCAGCAGAGCCCATGTGAGGAGCTGGAAATCACAGTCCTGCTGAGCAATAACAGAGAGCACTTAACACACAGCTGTCAGTGGAGGCTGAGTGAGAAACCTGAACTTCTACTCCCATTCAGTAGTAACAAGAAAAATTAATACATATTAATACTATATGACAGAAATTTTAGAATTCTCTGGCAAAGATTTTAAAGCAGCCATTATAAAAATACTTCCATGGGCAATTATGAAGATGCTTGTGATAAGTGAACAAATGGAACATCTCAGCAAAGAAATAGAAAACATAAAAACCAACCAAATGCAATTTAAGAACTGAAAAATACAATGACTAAAAAACCCTCAGTGGATGAGATCAACATCAGATGAAGAGAACAGAGGAGAGAATAAATGAAAAGAGAACAACAGAAATTAATCTAAACAACAGAGAGAAAACAGAATTAAAAAACTGAACAGGATTTCAGGACATATAAAACTATTACAAAGATCTAATATTTGTGGCATCAGAGTGACAGAAGGAGGAGAATAAAAAAGCATGGTGGAAAAAGTACTTGAAGAATAATGGCTAAAAATGCCCCAAATTTGTTAAGAGATATAAACCTACAAATCCCAAATAAGAT